TTCTCAAAAAAATCCAAATTCACACTACCTAACTACAACTCAGTTAGAACTGACAGAGCTAAACCGAAAACAAGAAGAGCCGCAGGAGGACTAATCATATTTATCAGGGAAGATATAAATTACGAAGAAATAAAAATAGACACGCCAAACCTAGAAGCCAACGGCATTAAAATCACATTAAATAACCGAAACATAAACATCATAAATATTTACCACTGGGCGGAACAAAAAGTCCAACCTGAGGATCTAAACAAACTACTCCAAATAAGCGATAAATCTACTATATTCCTAGGAGACTTTAACGCTCACCATCCTACATGGAGCATAGATGATAAAATAGATAATCATGGCAAATTAATCTCCGAATGGATAGAAACAAACGACCTAGTACTCCTTAATAGCAACCAACCCACGAGGTACGATAAGATAAACCAAAAAATGTCGGCTATCGACCTAACCATATGCACCGCAGATCTAGCCCAAAGTACTCAATGGGAAGTGCACGACGTCCCGCTAGGTAGTGACCACTTCCCCATAAACATAACCATAGGAAATACAAACGTACCAATCCAAACAGAAAACCAAGAACCAAAATTCCATTACAATAAAGCTAACTGGGACCAATTCCAAGATATCTGCAACGAAGCTAACCGAAACGAAATAGAAAATAATGATCCAGAAACCTATTGTAAAAACCTAACAGACTATATAATAAACGCAGCCAAAACCTCCATCCCCTTCAAAACATCTAAGACAGGCAAACCGACGGTACCATGGTGGAATGAGGAAATAGAACAGACTAGACGAAAACGTAAATCAGCCTTCAATAAAGCAAAACGCGACTACAAATATTTAAACATAGCCCACGAACTAAACCACCAGGTTCAAAAACTAGTCCAAATAGCCAAAAGTAGAGACTGGAAAAAATTCTGCGAAGGTATAAATAACCGTACAGATGCCAGGACGGTCTGGCGCAAAATCCACGCCATCAGAGGCTTAAAACGACATAAAAAAAACCCTAACATTGACAACTCAACCAACCCCGCCCAAAAAGCAAATAATCTCGCCAACCACTTTTCGGCCGTTAGCAGTAACACCAACTTCAGTAAAAAATTCCAAGATAAACTTAAAACAGAAAACAAACCTACAAAAGAACCAAACAATAACAATCTAGAAATAAATCAACCCTACACAATGGAGGAGCTCCTCTACGTAATCCAAAACAGGAAAAAGGGCACAGCCCCAGGATTAGACCTAACTTCTTACCAAATAATTAAAAAACTCCCCCTAAAACTACTCCAGGCACTACTCAAACTATACAATCTCATCTACCTAAACGGACAGGTTCCTACTCCCTGGAAACAGGCCCTAGTCATACCAATCCCTAAACCTAATAAACAAGCTAATCAAGCTAACTCATATAGACCAATATCCCTAACTTCAAACTTATGTAAAGTAATGGAATCAATGGCTAAAAATAGATTACAACATTACTTAACCCAAAATAACATCATAAACCCAGATCAAAGCGGTTTCACTCCTGGCCGCTCAACCCTAGATAACCTCACCCGACTAGAACAAGATATTAAGACAGGACAGCTAAATAAACAATATACCACAGGCATCTTCTTAGACTTCTCTAAAGCTTTCGACATGGTATGGCACGATGGGCTAATACAAAAACTTAAAAAAATAGGTCTCAAAGGTCAGATAATAAACTACATCCAGGACTTCCTAAACAATCGTAAAATAACCGTGGGTATAGACCAAACTCTATCGGACCAATGTCCCCTAGAAAATGGTACTCCACAGGGCAGTATCCTCAGCCCCACCCTCTTCAATATAATGATAAACGATCTATTCGAGGGCCTATCCCCTAAAGTAAACACATCAAAATTCGCGGATGATGGAGCCATCTGGATCCGCACTAAAAGCATGAACATGGTCCAAAATTTACTCCAAAAATCTCTTAATAAAATACAACAGTGGGCTGACAAATGGGGCTTCTCCCTTAACTCAGAAAAAACAACAGGAATAGTATTCAAACATAAAAACATGAAACCCGCCTCCCCAATCCTCCAGCTAAACAATCAAACAATCAAATTTCAAAAACAAACCAAATTCTTAGGACTTATTTTCGATGAACATCTCACCTGGGATGCTCACATCCAAAACCTAACAACTAAATGCAGTAAAGACCTAAACACCCTAAGATGCCTAACTGGTTCTAACTGGGGAGCATCCAAAGATACCCTCCTCTCTCTCTACATATCACTAATTAGATCAAAACTAGACTACGGCTGCGCCATATACAACACCCTAAACAACTCTCTATCTAAAAAACTTGACTCAATACAATATCAGGCTCTCAAACTAATTACACGCACCCAACATGGCACCTCCTACACCTCACTTCAGGCCTTAACAGGAGAAATGCCACTAAGTCTACGCAGGGAACAGCTAAGCTTAAATTTCTGGGCCGCGTCCCAATCAAACCCTCTCATCCAAAACTTAATAAACCAAAACATCAGCCCCAAAAACCAAGCTCTAGCTCGTAAACACCCCTTACTTACCCCAATATCCCAAAGAATAACAAACTACCTAAATGAACACCAAATTAAAAATCTTAAACAAAACTGCAAACAATCAAATATCTTCACCCCCAAACTTAAAATACCCAAAATAGACACAACACTAGCTAGCCAAATAAATAAACAAACCGACCCAAACATAGCTAAAACTACCACACTAGCATACATACACGAAAATTGGCCAAATTGGTGTCACATTTACACGGACGGATCCTCAGATCCGACCTCCAAACACACAGGTTTCGGAGTCCATACCACACAACCAACTAAAACCACACAATCCTTCCGACTCCCAAACAACCAATCAATATTCACGGCAGAACTAATGGGCATGGCCTCAGCCCTCCATAATCAAGAATCCAAAAACCACAAAAAAATCCTAATACTTACCGACTCCCTAAGTGGACTGCAAGCCCTCCAAAACAAAAATACCAAAAACCGACCTAAATTAATAAATCAAATACTTAAAAGCTCCAACGACCTAACTAAGGCAGGCAAACAAATAACCTTCTTGTGGATACCCGCCCACGTAGGAATATACGGTAATGAAAACGCAGATAAAGCAGCTAAACTATCCCTCAAAATCCCAGAAATAAGCTTAAACTTACCCATCTCAAAATCAGAAATTAAAAGTGTAAACAAGCAAAAAATCACCAAAAAATGGCATAACCTATATCTAAACTCAAATAGCCAAATCAAAAAAGTGCTCAGCAAACCACTAACCAAACCAAAAATTCTCCATCCATCCAAAAAAATCGACAGAGTAATCACTAAACTCCAAACAGGACACACCAACCTAAATAACCACCTAAAAAAATTTAAAAAACACACTACAGGTAACTGCCCGCACTGCAAACAACCAGAAACCCCAGAACACGCACTCATCCACTGCACACACTACCTAACACATCGAACCGCATTACAAACCACCCTCAATCTAAACAAGGCTCTAACTCTAGAAGCAATACTAAACCCACAAAATAAACTAGAAAACTTCAAGGCCTTAGGCGTATTCTTAATCAAAACGGAACTAATAAAACGCATCTAAAAACACAATAACTCACCAAATCAAAATCACATAAACAAACAAACATCCACCATACCCAGCTCCCTTAGTTCTCCTCCCCAATCCCATCGGCATCTATTCCAAATCTCAAAATTCCCAAATTCTATATAAGCAACCCCTAAAACCCCCCTCTTGGGTTGCACAGACCACTTTCGCCCCTTTCGGAAACACATTAAATGGCCTGGCCGGGCCCGTGTGCGAAATACGCATCAGTCGGAAAGCGCACGTTAAATCTCCAAAGTAAGTAAGTAAGTAAGTCAGGAACCATGAGCAAAGATTTTTTGTGAGCTACATTATTGTGGAGAAAGAATTGGCTGCTGCACTGGCATCCAGGCTGTATTGGGCGAGTGTGGCAGATACCCTATTCGAGTATATGCTTTGACCAGATGTGTGAAATATTGGCTGAACATACTAAAGATGCCAGACTTCCGTTTACCAAGAAAGTGCTACAATATGTCGTACCTATATGATGAACATGGTCGTGTCAATTGGGTAACTAAATTAAGGAATTGTCTTTGTAAACTTGGGTTCGGAGATGTATGGAGGTTCCAAATGTATATGGAAACTGAAAGTTTTTTTGCTTAATATGTTTAAACAATGTTTGAAAGACAATTTTCAGCAGATCTGGCATAGCAAACTTCTTGCAAGTTCAAAAATGTCATATTATGATTGTTTTACAACTTATGTTAAATGTGAACCTTATTTGTCATTCTTAAATTCGCAAAATATGAAAACAACCCTCACGAGATTCAGACTGAGTTGTCATACTTTGGAAATTGAGAATGGATGTCATTATAAAATTCTGAGAAATTTAAGAAAATGCAAACTTTGTAAATTAGACTGTTGAAACCGAGTACCACTTCCTGCTTATTTGTCCATCATATGTCAAGTTACGGCAACTATATCTCAAAGCAAAGTTCTATTGTCATCCTAACTTTCATAAATTTAATATGCTTCTGTCATCACCAGATACATATATTATTACAAATCTAGCAAAATATCTATATTATGCAAATGAAGTAAGAAATGCAAAATTGAATGTTTAAAACTTGTCTATACTCAACTTTTGTACACAAAGGCCTGTGGCCTATATGTATTGGAAATAAAAAGATTGATAACTGGTATCCAGGCTAGAAGGTTCTGCCCAGGTTCTCAAAACTAGAGCTATTTCTGCATTAAGAGATAGCGCAGACACCAAGACAAGTGAATATGTTGGTAGAATGTACAACTTTCATTTGTCTCAAACATTTCTATTTTGTCAATTTTGCACTAACCACTTTGACAATATGCCCAGGGACCATTACTCAGCTGTTTCAAATATGGCATGATTGATCTTTTTCCAGGTAAATTTTGTTGGATGATGGCATGGTATTTCTTCTGGCCATTTGGAAAGTTTGTACATCAGGTAAGATATACACTGACAGTACTTCCACAGTTATTACACTTCACATATTTTTTTAACAAGACAGAAGTCATTCTGTGTAAATCAACAATAATAGCTCACAGACTCCTTATTTACTCATTAGCATAACAAACTGTAGACAATGATAAAGTCGGTGACATATTGTTCAGCATAATAATGCAACACAAGCGAGTAGTCCCAAAGGAGGCATAACCTAAGTTTGTTATGTTGTTCACTGGAAAATAATTGCATGGTTAGCCACTCCCATTATTTACAATATAATACCTCTTACATGTGCAAATGTAGGTACCATTGCTGCAGAATCGCTGACATGTGATACTTCCTAATTTGAAATTGTAAAAGCCTTGATTATCTTAGCGCTTTGATATTCTTGAATGTTTGGCCACAGTATTGCCTTTGGGATGAAATGAACTTTCCCTGAAGGCATAGATATACTTAGATTTAAACAGCACAGCACAGCCAAATTGGATGTCATTTAAATATTCGTGGCAGTAAAGGTGGTTTGAATAATGCACTTCTAAAAAAGTGCAATATAATAAATAAGAACAGCCTCAGTTACCAGAGACTATATATACTGTCGGTATATGGTCTCTGCAGTTAGGTTCTCCTATTGCATGTTTTATGTTTGTTACCCATAATATTTGTTGTCATCATTATTGATAGCCTGAAATACTGTTGTAGATGTGTCTCAATCAATAGCGCTTCTCCATATAGGAAAGGTGACTGATTTAATTTCGACAGTTTACTCTTTATATCCAAAATAATATGTGAATATAATGGTCATGCCATCAATGTTTGTGTATATGCTTTCGTTACTTTACAGAGCACTTTGGTACTGTTTCAGATACATGATGTCCCACTGTACTCTGTAGCTGAGTCAAGTTATCGTGATGTCACATTAAGACAACCCAATGGAACAGGACACATTTCAGAAAATACTGCTCTTTTGGCATCAGATGAGAGCAAAAATGGACATCATTCTGCACGCAAATCTCTCTTGGTGGGTAAAATTAGAAGTTTAATGAAACTGTCATTTATTAACAATGTGAACTCTTGCAACAATGCCAACACTTAAATCTAGTAAACAGGCACAAACGTGCCTGGTGCACACTTGGTTGACAGAACACTCATGGCTAGGATGGATAGTATGATGATACATTGGTGGATTGTTCATCTAGGACAGACTGTTAGACACATTGGGTACATGATACATTGGTTGATTGTTCATCTAGGACAGACTGTTAGACACAATGTGTACATGATACATTGGTTGATTGTTCATCTAGGACAGACTGTTAGACACAATGTGTACATGATACATTGGTCGATTGTTCATCTAGGACAGACTGTTAGACACAATGTGTACATGATACATTGGTCGATTGTTCATCTAGGACAGACTGTTAGACACAATGTGTACATGATACATTGGTCGATTGTTCATCTAGGACAGACTGTTAGACACATTGGGTACATGATACATTGGTCGATTGTTCATCTAGGACAGACTGTTAGACACATTGGGTACATGATACATTGGTCAATTGTTCATCTAGGATAGACTGTTAGACACAATGTGTACATGATACATTGGTCGATTGTTCATCTAGGACAGACTGTTAGACACAATGTGTACATGATACATTGGTCGATTGTTCATCTAGGACAGACTGTTAGACACATTGGGTACATGATACATTGGTCGATTGTTCATCTAGGACAGACTGTTAGACACATTGGGTACATGATACATTGGTCGATTGTTCATCTAGGACAGACTGTTAGACACATTGGGTACATGATACATTGGTCAATTGTTCATCTAGGATAGACTGTTGGACACATTGGGTACATGGTACATTGTTTAGTATTCATCTAGGACAGACTGTTAGACACATTGGGTACATGATACATTGGTTGATTGTTCATCTAGGACAGACTGTTAGACACATTGGGTACATGATACATTGGTTGGTTGTTCATCTGGGACAGACTGTTAGACACATTGGGTACATGATACATTGGTTGATTGTTCATCTAGGACAGACTGTTAGACACATTGGGTACATGATACATTGGTTGGTTGTTCATCTAGGACAGACTGTTAGACACATTGGGTACATGATACATTGGTTGATTGTTCATCTAGGACAGACTGTTAGACACATTGGGTACATGATACATTGGTTGGTTGTTCATCTAGGACAGACTGTTAGACACATTGGGTACATAATACATTGGTTGATTGTTCATCTAGGACAGACTGTTAGACACATTGGGTACATGATACATTGGTTGGTTGTTCATCTGGGACAGACTGTTAGACACATTGGGCACATGATACATTGCTTGGTGTTCATTTAAATCTGTACCATGTGATGAAACAGCCCCTTTCAATGTAGACCCCCTAATCATGTAACTTGTCACATGATCAGTATTGACGTGCCACATCCTGAATATTGACTCACCCAATGGAAAAGAAGGTGGCGTCTGGTAGTAACATTTCACGGTTCATATCTAGGATGCATGAAGTTTGGTACATGTCATCCTTAGGGATGGAATTAGTAGAGCTCTTCAGAGACCATTATTGAAGCTGAAGGTAACTGGAATGATCAAGGTAGTTCGGCTCCTTTGTGTACCTAAACCAATCATCTGTGCTTGTATATAAAGTTTGTAAGAGCATGCTCCCATGTTTTCAACTAGAAATATTCAAGCCTGTGATTGGCTGAAATTGAAGGTCAAGGTCAAATTGAGGTACATTCAAATTTCTCATGAAGGTAGCTAGAGTCATGGGACTCTTTCTTTTGGAAATGTGTATCTACAAAGTTATAGAAGTTATAAAATTGAGGTGCAAGTAAATTTCTTGTTAATGTAGCTAGAAGCATATGACTTTCTATTATGAAGTCGCAGTGCATATGCACATGTTTTCCCAAATCAGAAGGGATAATTCTATTGGCCATTGAGTACTTAATCACATATTATCATTCACATTGGGTGTCATTTTTTTCTCTTGTGTAACTCTTAACAGTGGTAAGTGTGTAAGTTACAATAAGTGAGATGTTGCATTATTCACTGCAGTAGAGTTCATGTACATGTAACACCTGCATTCAGTCAGTAAGAAAAGATCTGTGAAGACATGTGTATGCAAGCTGAAAATGCTACATTGGGTAATAACACACAGTGTCCTCATACTATTAAGTTATCAAATTTCATCATGTGTATTTGTATGCAAGCAACTCAAAATGAATCAGGTTATGGTGATTAAGTTTTCAATTTTCTGATTACTATTTTTAGAGGCATGGAACTTCCTGCTTCAGAGTTGTATTGCATTGTTCATTTCACAAACTAAAAGTGATTATGACTTGAGTAAGGTAGATAGAAGCACAGTTTGGATGAAGACAGGTGGAGATGGAGTTGTTTCTGTTTTTGTATGTAATGCAAACACTTTTCTCATTTATCAATTCGTATTTTTGCAACCGAATTACTGCTGAACACTCTCTAAGACACTGGTTACTGGGTGAGAACATTTTATTCCTGGTGTCTTACAACACATCCTGCAACAATATAGCATTTAATAAATACAGCATCAATTTAGGTGAAATAGAAATGACAGATTATATGACAATTAACAACAAGGGGTGATAACTCATTGATTAGCTCATACATTCAAATGAAATAGATATGGTACAGACACAGACGCCTTAATGCAATACGCAAGTCAAATGAAATAGATATGGTACAGACACAGACGCCTTAATGTAATACGCAAGTCAAATGAAATAGATATGGTACAGACACAGACGCCTTAATGCAATACGCAAGTCAAATGAAATAGATATGGTACAGACACAGATGCCTTAATGTCATACGCATGTCAAATGAAAGAGATATGGTACAGACACAGACGCCTTAATGCAATACGCAAGTCAAATGAAATAGATATGGTACAGACACAGATGCCTTAATGCAATACGCAAGTCAAATAAAATAGATATGGTACAGACACAGACGCCTTAATGCAATACGCAAGTCAAGTAAAATAGATATGGTACAGACACAGACGCCTTAATGCAATACGCAAGTCAAATGAAATAGATATGGTACAGACACAGACGCCTTAATGCAATACGCAAGTCAAATGAAATAGATATGGTACAGACACAGACGCCTTAATGCAATACGCAAGTCAAATGAAATAGATATGGTACAGACACAGACGCCTTAATGTAATACGCAAGTCAAATAAAATAGATATGGTACAGACACAGACGCATTAATGCAATATGCAAGTCAAATGAAATAGATATGGTACAGACACAGACGCCTTAATGCAATACGTCAGTCAAATGAAATAGATATGGTACAGACACAGACGCCTTAATGCAATACGCAAGTCAAATAAAATAGATATGGTACAGACACAGACGCCTTAATGCAATACGCAAGTCAAATAAAATAGATATGGTACAGACACAGACGCCTTAATGCAATACGCAAGTCAAATAAAATAGATATGGTACAGACACAGACGCCTTAATGCAATACGCAAGTCAAATGAAATAGATATGGTACAGACACAGACGCCTTAATGCAATACGCAAGTCAAATGAAATAGATATGGTACAGACACAGACGCCTTAATGCAATACGCAAGTCAAATGAAAAAGATATGGTACAGACACAGACGCCTTAATGCAATGCGCAAGTCAAATGAAATAGACATGGTACAGACACAGACGCCTTAATGCAATACGTCAGTCAAATGAAATAGATATGGTACAGACACAGACGCCTTAATGCAATACGCAAGTCAAATAAAATAGATATGGTACAGACACAGACGCCTTAATGCAATACGCAAGTCAAATAAAATAGATATGGTACAGACACAGATGCCTTAATGCAATACGCAAGTCAAATGAAATAGATATGGTACAGACACAGACGCTTTAATGCAATACGCAAGTCAAATGAAATAGATATGGTACAGACACAGATGCCTTAATGCAATACGCAAGTCAAATGAAATAGATATGGTACAGACACAGACGCCTTAATGCAATACGCAAGTCAAATGAAATAGATATGGTACAGACACAGATGCCTTAATGCAATACGTCAGTCAAATGAAATAGATATGGTACAGACACAGATGCCTTAATGCAATACGCAAGTCAAATGAAATAGATATGGTACAGACACAGACGCCTTAATGCAATACGCAAGTCAAATGAAATAGATATGGTACAGACACAGATGCCTTAATGCAATACGCAAGTCAAATGAAATAGATGTACTACCCAGTATTACATAAACATATACCAGAATGCAAAATCATTCCTACTTGGTGGATGGCACAAGGGTGCAGATGTAAGCGCCACCAAGCCAGAAGCACTAAGTGTACCTAAAATCTGATTGAACAAGATACAACATTAATTCTGCAGTAACTACAAATCATTATATCTATTATCTTTACAAACGCATGGAACACATCAAAACAGCTTAGGCTGTGACCACATAGTCATTCATACTTACATTCACATATACACTATTCTTCCTATCATATATGAAATCAGTCAATCAAACGCTCAAACATGCAACAGTTCACTCATAGGGAAAATAGAAATACTTGAATGAATTAGATTAGTTATTTGATAGTTTTTATATTAAATTCTATACTTCAAATTCACTAAAACCAGGCTGAAGTATTATTTGCACTTAGGTTAGATTTACCATTGTTATGGTTGAATTTACTGGTTATATTTATAAATAAACAATACAACTATAGCATGTAAAGGTGTACACACTTATAAACCTGTGTAACAGAAACTGTGAGGTATTTACAAGTGTTGATGACTCCAATCTACATGTATAACTCAGTCCTGTTAGTGCAAAGGGTGAATGTGAAGTGCAGATTTGAAATAAGAAAGAGGGCAAGAGTTTAACTGATCCAATTGGCGTTGATTAAATCAGGCTATGTAATAATGTTGTAGCCCTACCTGTCTACTCTTTATTAAATTAGAATGAAACTAACTATAGAGCTAATAATAGACCCAACTTTTAAACTTTTTGAGTCCTTATAAGTATAGTCTGTTTCAAAATGACCAAACCTGTTGATAGAAAAATTCATTCATTAGTTAAAAATGGAAAATGATATACCTGCAATTCTCTAAGCAATTGTCAGTATACAAATATCAATACAACACTTAAATTACTTAAAACTAATATGTACATGACTGTATAATACAATAATACAAACGAATAAGTACATGACTGTATAATACAATACAAACTAATATGTACATGGTTGTATAATACAATACAAACTAATATGTACATGGTTGTATAATACAATACAAACTAATATTACATGACTGTATAATACAATACAAACTAATATGTACATGGCTGTATAATACAATACAAACTAATATGTACATGACTGTATAATACAATACAATCTAATATGTACATGACTGTATAATACAATAATACAAACTAATATGTACATGACTGTATAATACAATACAAACTAATATGTACATGGTTGTATAATACAATACAAACTAATATGTACATGGTTGTATAATACAATACAAACTAATATGTACATGGTTGTATAATACAATACAAACTAATATGTACATGACTGTATAACACAATACAAACTAATATGTACATGGTTGTATAATACAATACAAACTAATATGTACATGGTTGTATAATACAATACAAACTAATATGTACATGACTGTATAATACAATACAAACTAATATGTACATGGTTGTATAATACAATACAAACTAATATGTACATGACTGTATAATACAATACAAACTTATAAGTACATGACTGTATAATACAATTATACATACTAATATGTACATGGTTGTATAATACAATACAAACTAATATATACATGGTTGTATATAATACAATACAAACTAATATGTACGTGACTGTATGATACAATAATATGTATCTGCCACATTTTCAGCTTGTCATGTGAGACCTAGACTAACATTTAGTCATGGACATGAAGTTATCTTATTTAGGAATATATATCTACAAAATACAAAATATTATCTGAGCTTCATTTCAGAGCTGAGACAATCTAGACTTGCCAAATATCATTCTAGACTTAGTTGGATGTATTTTTTTTTTATTCTCTGAGGTCTGTAGGACCTGGATTTGCCATTATTTACTGCAACACTGACCAACCACTAACAGTGACAAATCACATGACAAGGCACCAAATAAACACTGAATAATTTTTGCCATATCATTGCCATGTATCCTATTAAAAAAATCTTATGATTTTCAACAGAAGTCCTCTTCATTATCAACTATCCAATATTAGTAGTTTGAATTATAGTACACTGCTTCACAAGTCTTATGCTCTTGTGTGAAGTGTGAAAACCTCTCTTTTATGTGTGCTCCTGCCAACATCTAGAGACTTTATTTTGATAGTGATCACATTGAAGTAAAAGTATTGAAGACACATATCGAGCAGGTGATGTAAAGTTTGTCTGAAACGTAATCTCTTTTATTCAATCAGTCTCCTAATATCTCATGCTTTTTCGATATATTTGATAAAGTGGATTGTGTTTACAATTTAACAGTATTGGTAATCTCATTTATTTCATGACAGATTCCAGGCTAGGATTGGCATGCATTTCATGATTTATTATATGCCATTTCCATTGGTTGGTATGTCATCTGGAACAAACAGATGACCAGTGCCTGCCTACATCTTTTGCACTTTAATGAGACACCCAAAACAACAGAACCAACAGTTTTAGTGCTTTTCACCAAGTAACGAGTCAAGTGTGGTCAGTTGGTTTACTCAAGTTGATCAAACAGGGATCACATTAACCCTTGGCAACCTTGTACAATAATATTTAATAACTAAAAAATTACTGTTCACCCAGGTGGTAAAATGTCTAGTGCAGCAACGGCAGAGGGTAATATATATACGAAAGTAACAGATTACAGAATTTCAAAGTTAGTACTACTTTCATTAATTTCTTGATACGTTTTTGGCTTGTGGTCATCACTTTCATTACTTTAGGGACACATAATTTTCATGATTGACAGTACATGCATCAAAACAGGAAAGGTATTCTTTTTACTGACTTTAAAAGTTTGACATGTTGTTATTTCAGGTTCGCCCTCAGACATACATCTGGTGTATATTGGGTATACCACTCCTCCTGACAGTACACTTCATTGTGTGGTTCATCGCCTGGCTTTTTGTCATCTCAATTCCAATTGCAAAGGTTTGTGAATGTCTTTTCACTTTCTAGGAGTATAATAAGGCTCAGAATAATTACCTCAGATTAGTGTTACCTACCCACCCACCTAAACCCATATCTCACCTACCTTTATCTCAAGCATGTGTTTATGAATCAAATAGTGATGATACCCAATCTCATTAAAATCAGAGGACATCCCATTACGGGTCATGTCAGAACGACCTTTCATCCGACCAATCAAAGCGTCGCTTATCAGATCATGAAAGGGAGAATCAGAATGTGTTTTCTAATCATGCAACCTCGAAAACGTTAACATAGGGTATTCTGAATGACAGTTACGGCCCGTACGACGGATTCCGTCAAAATTATCGTCTATATCTCGCTTCCATGGGATAAACATTTGAATGGAGGAGCCATTGCACATTACTTGGGAAGCACTGCCATACAATTGCAACCATATATTAGACATTCCGGAATGTTCGTTTGTTCAGTTTTAAATTTTTTAACTGTGTCAACATATTTTTCAGGCATAGTCTGAAATGGAAGTCGTCAGATTGCAACGAGTACAGTAAAGCTTGAGAAGGCTGCTTTCTAATTGGTTGATGTCGACTTCTGGTTAGTAGTTTCAGTGGTCGGTCAGAGTTCACGAAAGATCGTTCTAACGTGACCCATAATGGGATGTCCTCAGATCTTTGTTTAGGGGCAGTGAGAAATAAGATCTGATTTTAATGAGATTGTGATGATACTAGGTGTTTGTGAAAAGGTGAGCGTTTCCTGCCAAACTGGTGGCAGTCGTGACAATAAGTCTGTTTGAAAGCACACCTGAGGCCTTGAATATTGTATCTTGATAAAAAAACAACTTTTGAGCAAGAATCTCATGACACTCTTTGAAATTTATGTGGAAAGAATGTGCCAGATTGTACCTGAATAATTGTGAAACATAGACACAAGAGGCTTTGAGCTGCTGGAATCTTGCTCAACATAAAGGGAAGCTTGACTATTGGAAAGTTGAAGTCATCCGCCTTGTCATACAGTATTGTTCATAGTTTCATTGTCACTCTGAATCTTTATGCATAGATCTATATTTGAAACAGATGAGGCAGCCTCACTGGTCTCTCATTTCTAGCTCAGGTGGGCAAATCAGTGGAGGGAAACTGACTGTTTGACTGTTATTGAATGATGTCTGACTATGACAAGCCCAATTTCAACTTCTTAGCCATATTTCCTTGTTTTGATTTTGCCAGTCTGTCTGCACAAAGAAACTGATCAGCAAGGAGGGGAGCCCTACTGGTGCCCACGCGGATGCCTACCTCATGCCCATATGCCACATCCCCAAATTTCACTTAGATGTTATCTTAGTATCTCACCTATTGTTTTTTCAGTCGACAACTGAGGTCATTTGCTTTCTTTACTATCGTGGCTCAGCCCGGTAAAGGTCCAGATGCTAAGTTCTACAATGTAAGGGAGACAACTCTCGGAATACACTGTATGCTACAAGTAGCGTTGTGTCATTTGTACCTGTGCAAGGATGTTAAACTTTCATCTTGATACTAATTGTCCTGAACCATTGAAAATAAAGATGCAGCATGTCCACATCAGCACACCAAAAGACAAACAACCTGCAGATCAAAGAATGAAGTTCTCTTAACGTGTCATGTGGGACAGTGGTGTACAAAGCTGCAATGCCAAATGACATGACACTGAAGTAAATAAGACTGTAACTGCATGTTGCAACAAAGTTCAAGAATAGTACATTTGTTCTTGCAGATTTAGAAACATTGTGGAAATTTTGTTACTTGTTTCGCCATTTCATTGATGTCAATTCTGGTTTTTGAAAGGCATTTAGAAGTGATTCACATAAGGAAGAGAATATATGGATGTCAACTTTATTATGAGGAACACAACGTTTCGGAGTATATCCTTACTCCTTCATCAGGTGAATGAATGCCTTACTTACTTATATTGGAGATTTTACGTGCGCTTTCCGACTGCAGCGTATTTCGCACACGGCCCGGCCAGGCCATTTAATGTGTTTCCGAAAAGGGGAAAAAGTTGTTTGGCAATCCAGTAGGGGTGTTTTACTGGTTGCTTATATAGAATTTTGGAAATTTGGAAATTTGGAAAAAATGCCAAGAGGGTTTGGGGGGCGAACTAAGGGAGCTAAGTATGGAAGTTTGTTATTTAGGTTGGTATGTCCTGTTTGGAGTTTAGTGACAGGTGAGTTTTGGACGGATGTAGAATTTTTGGTTTGGTTAGGGGTTTTTTGAGAACCTTTTTGACTTGGCTATTTCAGTTTAGATATAAGTTATGCCATTTTTTGGTGATTTTTTTGTTAGTTGACACTTTTAATTTCTGATTTGGAGATGGGTAGGTTTAAGCTTATTTCTGGGATTTTAAGGGATAGTTTAGCTGCTTTATCTGTGCTTTCATTGCCGTATATTCCAACGTGGGCGGGGATCCAAATGAATACTATTTGTTTGCCTGCCTTAGTTAAATCGTTTGAGCTTTTTAGTATTTGATTTATTACTTCAGGGCGGTTTTTGTTGTTTTTATTTTGGAGGGCTTGTAGTCCACTGAGCGAGTTGGTAAGTATTAGAATTTTTTGTTGTTTCTTAGATTGTTGATTATGAAGGGCTGAGGCCATGCCCATTAGTTCGGTCGTGAATATTGATTGATTGTTTGGGAGTCGGTAGGATTGTGTGGCTTTAGTTGGTTGTGTGATGTGGACTCCGAAACCTGTGTGTTTGGAGATCGGATCTGAGGATCCGTCTGTGTAAATGTGACACCAATTTGGCCATTTTCATGTATGTATGCCAGTGTGGTGGTTTTTGCTATGTTTGGGTCGGTTTGTTTATGGGTGTGGGTGTGTTTTAAGTTTTGGGGTGAAGATATTTGATTTTCTACAGTTTTGTTTAAGATTGTTTATTTAGTGTTCATTTAAGTAATTGGTTATTCTATGGGATATTGGAGTAAGTAGAGGGTGTTTTCGAGCTAGGGCTTGGTTTTGGGGGCTGATATTTTTGTTTATTAGGTTTTGGATTAGGGGGTTGGATTGAGACGCGGCCCAGAAATTTAGGGTTAATTGTTCCCTACGTAGATTAAGTGGCATTTCTCCTGTTTAGGCCTGGAGTGAAGTGTAGGAGGTACCATGTTGAGTGAGTGTTATTAGTTTTAGAGCCTGATATTGGATTGAGTCTAGTTTTTTGCTTAGGGATTGGTTAAGGGTGTCGTATATGGCACATCCGTAGTCTATTTTAGATCTAATTAGTGATATATTGAGTGAGAGGAGGGTGTCTTTGGAGGCCCCCCAGTTTGAGCCAGTTAGGCATCTTAGCGTATTTAGATCTTTGCTACATTTAGTTATTAGATTATTTATGTGAGCATCCCAGGAGAGATGTTCATCGAAAATTAGTCCTAAGAATTTGGTTTGTTTTAGGAATTGGATTGGTTTGTTGTTTAGCTGGAGTTTTGGGGAGGCGGGTTTCATGTTTTTGTGTTTAAATACTATTCCTGTAGTTTTTTCCGAGTTAAGGGAAAAGCCCCATTTGTCAGCCCATTGCTGTATTTTTTAAGTAGGTTTTGGGCCATTTTAACGCTTTTTGTGCGGTTCCAGAGGGCTCCATCATCCGATAATTTAGATGTGTTTATTTTAGGAGAAAGGCCCTTGAATAGATCATTTATCATTATATTGAAGAGTGTGGGGCTGAGGATACTGCCCTGTGGAGTGCCATTTTCTAGGGGACATTGGTCCGATAGCGTTTGGTCTATACCCACGGTTATTTTACGATTGTTTAGGAAGTCCTGGATGTAGTTTATTATTTGACCTTTGAGTCCTATTTTTTGTAGTTTTTGTATTAGCCCGTCGTGCCATACCATGTCGAAAGCTTTGGAGAAGTCTAAGAAGATGCCTGTAGTATATTGTTTGCTGAGTTGTACTGTTTTAATGTCCTGCTCTAAACGGGCGAGGTTATCTAAGGTTGAGCGGCCAGGAGTGAAACCACTTTGATCTGGGTTTATGATGTTATTTTGAGTTAGGTAATGTTGTAGTCTGTTTTTAGCCATAGATTCCATTACTTTACATAAGTTTGAAGTTAAGGAAATTGGTCTATAGGAGTTGATTAGCTGGTTTATTAGGTTTAGGGATTGGTATGACTAAGGCCTGTTTCCAGGGAGTAGGTACTTGTCCGTTTTGATAGATGAGATTGTTTAAGTAGTGCCAGGAGTAGTTTAGGGGGGAGTTTTTTAATTATTTGGTAGGAAGTTAGGTCCAATCCTTGGGCTGTGCCCTTTTTCCTGTTTTGGATGACGTAGAGTAGCTCCTCCATTGTGTAAGGGTGGTTTATTTCTAGGTTGTCATTATTTGGTTCTTTGGTGGATTTGTTTTCTGTTTTAAGTTTATCTTAAATTTTTTGGCTAAAGTTGTTACTGCTTACGGCCAAAAAGTGGTTGGCGAGGTAATTTGCCTTTTCGGCGGGGTTTGTTGAATTATTAATGTTAGGTGGTTTTTTTATGACGTTTTAAGCCTCTAATGGCGTGGATTTTGCGCCAGACCGTACGGTTATTTATTTCTTCACAGAATTTTTTCCAGTTTCTGGTTTTAGATATTTTGACTAGACTTTGAACTTGGTGGTTTAGTTCGTGAGCTATTTTTAGATGTTTATAGTCAAGTTTGGCTTTATTGAAGGTGGATTTACGTTTATGTCTAGTTTGTTCTATTTCCTCTTTCCACCATGCAAATTTGGTACCGTAGGTTTGCCTGTTTTAGTTGTTTTAAAAGGGATGGAGGTTTTGGCTGCGTTTATTATGTAATCTGTTTTTTACAGTAGATTTCTGGATCATTATTTTCTAATTCGTTTAAATTAGCCTGATTGCAGATCACTTGAAATTGGTCCCAGTTAGCTTGGTTATAACGGAATTTTGGTTCTTGATTTTCTGTTTGTATGGGTACGTTTGTATCTCCTATGGTTATGTTTATGGGGAAGTGATCACTACCTAGTGGGACATCGTGTTCTTCCCATTGAGTA